AAAAAATAAGTCAGAAGTGTAGTTATTTCAAATAATGAATATTACTCGTATAAATAATTCTTTTAATTTTTTATTTAAATTGTATACTTTAATTTTCGTCACATTTACAAGTATATAAAAATTTTTTAATGGTTCTTAAATACATCTTGACATCTTTAGAAAGTATTTGTAAAGTTGTATATTTATAACAAATTATATATAAATTGTTATAACTAAATATAGTTAACAAAATGGGAAGTAGGTATGTACTTTTTCATACAAAAATGTAAAACTCTGAAATTTCGCTCGGATCGATTGGTCAATCAAACGCTTCAAAGAATTTGTAACGCCAAGTGGACCGCACCTTCTATCTAGAATAAACGAATGACATCTGCAATATAGTAACTGCATAAACAAATGCACTCAATAGGTTTTTAAAGCTTTAGCTATAAGAAATGGACGAATCAGAGTCGATTATTCTTCTCGCATTCAACTGTAATTGGTCAAATTTTACGGCTAAAAGCTTAAAATACCTGTTGTAGATCCGTACTTACGACCGGGATTCCGGAGTGTAGGAGGTGTGTCTATCAAAGTTGGTCATACAAATTATGCTGTGTAAAGCTGGAAACACAATAGACACAGGCAATAGGCACAGGCAACAGGGAATAACGAGAAGTCCAATCAGAGCTTTGGGGTATAAGTTCGATATTATATCCCAGAGTTCTGATTGTACGGCTCGTTTATTCCCTGTTGCCTGTGCCTATTGCTTGTGTCTATTGTGTTTCCAGCTTAATGCTTCTAACTCCCCATACACTAGCGACCCCAACGTCCATTTTCGAGCTGTGGGAACTACGTACCACGTCAATTTTCGAGACTCCCCCATCTCGCCTATAAAATCGTATCGTTGAAAGTGGACGTGGTACACCACAAATTATAGATGTGAAGAAAAAACTATTTTTTGACATTGTTGATAAATAGTTCTTTCTTCTTTTTTCGAAAAATAGTTTTTTCTTCACATCTATAATTTGTGATGTACCACATCCACTTTCGATGATACGATTTTATCGGCGAGACGGGGAGGTCTCGAAAATGGACGTGGTACGTAGTTCCCGCAGCTCGAAAATGAACGTTGGTGTCACTAGTGTACGGGGAGTTAGAAGCATTACAAGAAAAAGGCCGGGATAGTTGCTCTCAGGTTTCTCTCTGGTTTGACCGTGCTCGACCGTCACGTTCGACTCGACTTCATTGACCATGGAGTTTGGTTTGGACTATGGACGACCAGGACGACACGAGCGAGGCGTGTGTCACTGCGCGAGTGCGGACGATGACGTATGATGGATGAGCGTAGTATTTAGGATTTTAAAATGCGTTTTGTTTTACGCATGATTATTTTTTTTAATCTCAATTTTTCTCTAGTACGGCTGGATCTTTCGCATCCTGCGCATTTCTTTTTTTCAAAAAACTAGGAACATATCAAATAATCATCCGAAAAAAAATTTCATATATAATTATACAGGGTGTCTCGAAAGTTTTTGCCAATCGCTTTTGTGTAGATAGAGCGAACTAAACTGAGTCAAAAAGTCCTGTACCATTTTACAATTTTCGCAATAGTTAACAAGATATTAATTGCTAAATATTGTCAAATATTGTGGTCTTGAATAATTTTTTACTCAAATACTATTAACTTTATAGAAAAGCTGCAAGAGACAAAAAAATTATTAATTTTCTTCTCATAAAGTTCTGAGAATTTTTTTAGAATTTTTTAATACCGTATTTTCTCATGTTGGTAAAAATAAGAAAATGCAGTACTAAAAAGTTAATAAAAAATTCTGAAAAAATTCTAGATATTTTTTAAGTGATCCTTCGCATACAGAACGTAAAAATAGAAAAGAGGGGGTATTTTATTTTTTTTCAATGATATAATTATTATTCGTAATCAAATACAGTATTTTATATCACAAAGAAAAAATGTGATAAATTGTGGTGCGATACTTATCTCGTTAGATATTAACATGTTACTGATTTATTGTTTGCATATACCTCTTAAATAATAAATCCAATTTATGTGAGAAATCTTGGGATCTGTGCAGTACACCAGAAGTTTTCCGGTTACTGGATAATTATCTTCCATTTCTCTTTTTCCATTATCTTTTAGTTGAACGATAATAGAGATCGCCTTGTAATATTGATTTATATTAATTTATATTGATTATATAATTTACACATAATTCATATTATTTTTATAATTTATATTGATTTATATTAATGTCGTAATAATTAATAAATTGTTTTATTAAACACTTTATCCTGGCAAAAATATAAAGATAGCAGCATAAGTCGAATATAAAGAAAGAGTGATAGAACTGTAAACGAAAATTAAGAAGTAAATGCCTCTTTACATTTTATTGTCTCAAATTTCGCTTTCTAGAAGCTTCGTTTACGCTTCTATTGCTGTACCTTTAGGCTGCTATTACATTTGTACGACAAATTTTTCAAGTTTACATATTAATTGGCTGTAAGACAGAGAGATCCGAAAATTTCTTTGCTCTACAACCAATCAAAAGGCTTGAAAAGCTTGTATGTAACATACAAAAAAACGGATTACATATAAAAAAACAGATGAATGTAATATTAGCCTTATGGCGTGTTCACTTTAAAAGAAAAACAGACCTTGACAGAAAAGCAGAAAGCAGAAAAGCAGCAGCCAATCACAACTCGCGCTGGTAGTCGACAATGGCTACGTTGAACAGAGAAAATTAATCAGTTAGCATTTAGTGATTCTTTAATATGGTCCTTGCCTTTTTAGTTCTTCGTTAAATCTAAGTGTATAGGGACCAATCGTATTAAAGAACCACTAAGCGCTAACTGATTAATTTTCTTTGCTGAACGCACCCAATGACATTCTGTACTGCTTACTATTAACGTGAGTTGTGATTAGCTGCTGCTTTTCTGCTTTTCTGTCAAAGAATGCATTCCGTTTCACGTATGATATGCATAAAGTATGTTCATCATTTATTCTTGTTTAACATTCGGTGAACAACAAAGGTAAATGATGCATCATGCGCCTAATGCGTGAAACGGAATGCACCCAAGGTCTAAACCTACCCTTACGTTCGATTTATGCTCCGATTTTTATTTTTGCTAGGGAGATCGTAATAATTAACAAATAATCTTATAAAACATTGCTTTCTTTCCGTTATTAAAAATATACAAACTCGTCATGTATGATATACGTATATACTTAATGGTACTAGAAAACGTATACACGGTGAGGATTAAAAACGATAATTATAAAATCAATAGAATTACCTGGTTTTGTTTAATTTTGTCCAACGACGTCGATGTTACGAAAACTTCGGAATCGTCCAGGATAAGCTCGAAAGATTTGGTTTCTCTAAATATATTCTTGAAGGATATAGAAGCCGGTGCATTGGCAGCAACTGTATATGGCCCTTGAGGTTTCGGCAACGAATACGTACCAATGAGAGGAAATCTGTATATAAACAATTTAGACAAAACACATTCTGTATATTTGGCTTATTTAATAATGCAGCAATCAGCACGACAGGTTAATCTTTTGATGTCTAAATTATCTCAAATGAATAAAAAATTAATTAGTATTTCGTTTTCAGTTTCATACAATCAGTTAGGCTAACATGAATAAAAAAATTTCTCTTCATTATTTCAAAGAATTTATGGAAATCTCGAAAATACATTTTCGCACTGATCTAATAGTTATTGATTTTAATCGCGTACAGATTCAACTGTTTAAAGTATTATCTGTATTATATGCGGTAAACTACTAAACTAGTAACATATAACGTTGAATCTAATTCGACATAAAACCGTAAAGGATTAATTTTAATTGCGAATTATCATACACAAATTCGCCGGCAATCTCAGATGTGGCTGTCAAAGTAGCAGAGACATTTTCGACGTCGCAGGGTTCGTAAGTTACGTCGAATGATGTACTTTTCAATGCCGGCACCTCGATGTCCTTCGCAGTCGTAAAGCATTCATTATTCACCTGGAATATATGAGAAAGAGACTCTTCTATCGATCGTTGTAGCAAAAGAAGAAAAAACGCAGTTTTGTGCTCACCTTGATAGTGAATATTGCAGTGTTCTCGGCGTGATTAATTACGTTCAGGGAAAAGGTAACGGAACTACCGAGCGTCGCATCAACACGCGTCGTTTTCTCTGGTGATGCTGGTATCGCTCGCAATCGTAGCTCATAGGGAAACAATCCGAGCTCCTCGCAGTTGACGTCCAAGGCTACCGTAATTTCCTCGGCGGGATGTAAAGGGTGGTACTTGATTCTGATAATTTCCTATCATATTTACGGAGATCGTTATTGTTTGTTGGTCATCATTAAATTTATTCCGTTTATAAATTTCCGAATATAATTTCTTAATTATTAACCCTTTACGATTCTTTTATATAATGCGGTAACCTATTGCATAATTCTTCAAGCATTCGAATCGTGATTGTAATCGATAAATGATACTTTTGGAATTTTTATAAAATTTCTGAGTAATAAAAATTCTTTAATTTATGTTAGATTACCCAATTAGATAAAACTGAGGATGAAATACTCGATTTTCGTTTATTTGCGAATAAATTTGGACCGCAAAGGATTTATATTTCAATATACTTTCGGAAAATCGAATTTATTTTTAACTGGAAGCGTATTAATAATTACAAGTAAAAATCTGACTGATAAAGATAAATCAAATAAAAGAAAGAATCTTATTTTTTATCAAAGTTAATCTTGGTACTCGATAATTTCATAATCATTATTAAATGAAATCAAATTAAATCAATTTAATAATCATTATTAAATTTATCAATAATTTATGATTAATATCATTTTCAATTTTAGTCACGTTTAAAATCCGACAAATGGAATTGGCAAATGGAATAATTTGTAGGATTAAAAAATGTATTTGCAAATTTACATGAATATTAAGCAAAATTTACATATAAATATTATTAAGCATTCTTTTTAAGATACTTTTCGATCAAAAATATGGTTTTTAACTATGTCTATTCGATTGCAATGTATTATTATAAACAAAATTCAATAACTAACGCTGCACAATGGTGCTACGAGCTTTGGTACATCGTGAATCGTGATGCAGGAATGCTGACATTTTGCCGTATATGTTACGTCTTTCTTCTTAAGTGGATTATCAAGTTTTAAAGCATGGCACACCGGAGATCGTACTACAGTGATCAGTTTGATCGATTCAATCTTTTGTGGTCTTGTAATATCATACTGGAGTTCGTAAAATTGATATTCGCCCTCTTCGTTAGTGAACGTTACCTGTGCATACGCGTAGTTTTAATTATTTTGCAAAATATAATTTTACACTATGAAAACACGATTAGAAACAATTATAAAATTGTTATTTTGAAAGCCTTATCTGTTAAAATTTAAAAAAAAGATTTTTTACGTCATTGTGTTTTCCGACAATAATTTACTAATATAAAATACCATAAAATTATATTTTGACTCTTTGTAGAAATAAAACTCTGCGCGATAATCTCGTTGGCCGTTTGCTGGAATGTCTAACTTGCTGTTGCCGACAAAAGTGAACATTTCGACATTCTAAAAAACAAGTTAAGAAAAAAATTTTAGAATTATTTCACAGTTCTCTCCCGTAATCTCTCGTAAATCTTTTAAACCTCGATGGGCTCTTTGCCGTTCATATTCTCAATTTGGCATTCAAATCGTTGTTGCCTACTGAGCCAATTGTAACCAGGTAACAATTCAATGTATTTTGTCTTTGCCGGAAATTGACGTGTAATCCTTTGGAGAACTTGTGGAGGTAGACTAAGCCCTCGAAGACAGTACACTAAAGGAGCTTTGTCATCCGGCAGTTTTAGAAGCAATGTACCCTGAAATAGTTTACGGAAATATTACGTTTCTCGACCTGTTACTTTTACGTTAAAATTATACATGTTCTATATTATCATGGAATTATATGATTATTTTATAAGACATTAACCAAGTTCTGTTTTAATTACTTCGTGAAGATTGCTCTCGCTATTCATGACTAGAGGGGCATAGGTGACTGTACAGATAGCAGATTTTTTCGAAGGATCGTATGAGACCTCGTCGATGAAAAAATATTCGCCGGTGATCTCTGGTTTCAAAGTTGCGATGTTTTCGACGTTCAAAGACCTCATTATTTTCTCGCGAACGCGACACGAGAAGAACAGAGTGTCGATCGGATCAGGCAGTTTGCAGCTAGCTCCAGTAATTCTTAAGTCGAGATCTCTATATTTTTCAATCTTAAGCGTTGCCTGAGAATAAAATAAACTATCTTTTATCAAAAGAGACTACATCTCGTATGCTCAATTACAGTTTCAATTATTTGTTACATGCGTTTAAAATTAATATCAGATTTACAATAATATAAATTATGATAGAATTTGTATATATGTATATTAGAAATCTTTTTAAAATAACAATTATACTGTTATTTTACCGAAACTAATAGACAATTTTTTAAATAAATATGACAAGGACTCTAGAATATATGTCAAACATGTACATGAGAATCCTGTTGTTCTTAAGTTCTGAGGGGAAAAGTTCTTTCACAGAAAGTTAAATATGATGTAGAAATATGGCAAGAAGCACAGTGTATTGCTTAAACTACTTTTATGTTTGGCGTATATTGTAAAGAACGAGGTTCTCGCCGAAGATCAAGTATTTTGTGTGCACAGGTATAAAAGTAGAAGTTGTATACGCTCACATTGCCCTCGATCAAACTATCATGCCGAGTGGGTTGGAAACTGACAACGAAGTTGACGTCCATACCAGGAGAGCAATAGCCAGTTGCAGGAGCGATGTTAAAGTCTTTGGGCAATTTCAACGTGTTCCACTTGAATCTGGAGATTGATATGTCATATATCATCATATGCCATTATTGACGTTAAACTAATGAAAACATAATAACGTGAATTACATAATAACAAGAATTCTCTTTTAAATACCGGAGAAAAAACTATTATAAAAAATAAAAGACGCTTATACAATAAGAATATTATTTTAGACCATAAATGTGAGAAACACAATCGATAAACTAGAAGCCTATACCGATCGAAGCTAGATTTTTAATGCTTAAATAATTCAATGTGAATCATATATATACTATATATGTACATACATATATATCGTATTTGTAGTCATCCGAACTGCACGCCGAATTGGTTTTCTGGACTTATAAATGCAATTAAACTACTTTAATATAACGAATTAAATTAAATTATGAGCAATTTTTAATAATTCGATGCTCAATCAGGCATCATATTGAAAAGATGTCAATTTGCTGAAAAACTAAAAATAAATTTATTGCGAAAAGTATTACCTCAGCCGGGATATATGCATGTACATATATAGTATATATATATATATATATATATATATATATATATATTTTAT